CTACAAAAAATCAATCCAACAGCTGCTAGATTATGCAAAGAAGAGTAACACAAGATTGATGGGAGTTAATGAAAAAGCAGGAAATAGCACAAATGGAATAAAACCCTTGTTCACAGAAGTATTGGCAGAAAATTCCCCAAGCATGGATAAAGAATTTGACATACAGACAAGTGAGGTATTTAGAACTCCAATTAGCCATGATAAAAAAATCTACACCAAAGAATATAATAGCCAAGTTTCCAGAAATTCAACACAAGAACAGAATATTGAAAGCTGTTAGAGAAAAGAAGCAAATCACCTATAAAGGAAAGCCCATAAGAATCGCAGCAGATCTCTCAACACAAATCCTCAAGTCCAGGAGACCTTTGAGTGAAAAGAGAAAACAACCTCCAGTTCAGACTGATGAACTCCACAAAACTATCTTTCAAAATTGATGGAGAAATAAGATACTTCCATGATAATGAACTCTTGAAGAAATTCATGCCCACCAAACCTGCACTCCAAAATGTTCTGAAGGACATTCTAGCAAGAGATGAGGATTTCAACCCAAATAGAAGGAATATATCAGGCAAGGCAAGTAATTAAACAGAGGAAAAAAGGGAACCAACAACAGGAAAATAACATGCAGGATAACTCAATACATATCAGTTATCATCATCAATATAAATGGTCTCATTTCATCTCAAGAGAAACAGACTGGCAGAATGGATCAAGAAGCAAGATCCAACAATATGCTGCATACAAGAACCACATTTGATTTAAAAAGAAATTCATAGACTGAAAGTAAAAGGATGGAAAACAATACAACAGGAACCCGCAAAAAAGCAGATGTAGCTACTCTGTTGCAAAGTGGATTTCAAGCCAAGACTGATTAAGAGAGACAAAGAAGTCACTACATATTTGTAAAGGGAACAATCAAGAGAAAGAGATAACAATAATAAATATATATGCACCGAATACCAGCTCACCCAACTATATAAAACAAACATTAAAGACATGAAAAATCAAATAAGCACTAATAGAGTTGTATGTGTGTGTGGGGAATCTCAATACCCCACTATCACAAATAGGCAGATCAACTAGACAAAAAATCAACAAAGAGATATCAAAACTGAACTGCCAGGCATGATGGTACATGCCTGTAGTACTAGCACTCAAGAGGCTAAGATAGGAGGATCACTGTGAATTTAAGCCATGCCTGGGCTACATAGTGAGTTTGAGGCCAGCCTGAACTACATAGTGAGATCCTGTCTCAAAAAATACAGCAAAACAAAACCAACTAACCAAACAAATAAAAAAACTAGACCAAACTTTTGAACAAATGGACTTTGTACATGTCTATGGAGTGTTCCACCCCACAACATCAGAATACATGTTCTTCTTAACTGCACGTGGGATATTCTCTAAAATAGACCACATACTAGCTTATAGGACATGCTTAAATAAATACAAAGAAATAAAATTAGCCCATGCATATTATCAGACCATAGTGCAATGAACCTGGAAATAAATGACACAAGAAACCACAAAAACTTCATAATAAACACATGGAAATTAAATAACACCCTCCTGAACAACCAATGGTTCACGGATGAAACTAAAGAAGAAATTAGCCAGTTTCTACAATCAAACGAGACAACATACTGGAACTTATGTGATGCAATGAAAGCAGTTCTATGAGGGAAATTTATAGTGGTGAATTCTCATATAAGAAAAACCTAGTGAGCTCAAATAAGCAACCTAATGTTGAACCTCAATCTTCCAGAAAAAGCAAGGGAGGAAATTATAAAGGTCAGAGAAGAAATTAATGCAATAGAGACTAAGAAAACAACACAAAGAATCAATGAATTGAAGAGTTGGTTCTTTGAAAGATTAAATAAAACTGACAAACCCTTAGCCAATCTAACAAAAAAGGAAAGACTCAAATCCATGCAATTAAGAATGAAAAGAGTGAAAGATCCTATAGATCACAACAGATCCTGTAGAAATCCAGAAGATCATTAACACTTACTTCAAGACCTATACCCTAATAAGATGGAAAACAAAGAAGAAATAGGCAGATTCCTAGATACACGTGAATTATGAAAGCTGAATCAAGAAGACATAGATATTCTAAATAACCTAATATCAGTCAATTAAATTGAAGATGTAATTAAAAACTTACCACCAAAGAAAAGCCCTGGCCCAGATGAATTTCCTCCTGAAGTCTATATGAAATTTAGAGAAGATCTAATGTTGCTACTTCTCAAACTCTTTAATAAAATTGAAAGGGAAGCAATATTCCCAAATTCATTCCTGGAAGCAAGCATTAGCCTGATACTAAAACCACAGAAGCATCCAACCAAAAAACAGAACTACAGGCCAATCTACCTAATGAACACAGACTTATAAATCTTCAATACGATTCTGGCAAACATAATGCAGCAAATCATCAAAAGAATTATATACCATGACCAAGTAGGGTTTATCCCAGGGATGCAGGGATGGTTTAACATATACAAATCAATAAGTGTAATACACTATCTTAACAGAGCCAAGGACAAAAACCATACGATCATCTCAATAGATATAGAAAAAAACATTTGACAAAATCCATTCAAGATAAAAACTCTACAGAAAGTTGGAATAGATAGTCTTTATGGCAACCTGATAAAAATTATCTATGACAAACTAACAGCCAACATCATACTAAATGGAAAAACCCAAAAGCTTTTATTCTAAAATCAGGAATAAGACAAAGAAGTCCACTGTCACCACTCTTATTCAATATAGTTCTGGAACCATTAGCCAGAGAAATTAGATAAGAGAAAGCAATAAAAGGAATAAGGATAGGAAAGGAAGACGTTAAATTATCATTGTTTGCAGATGACATGATAGTCTATGTAGAAAACCCCAAAAACTCCACCGAAAAACTTCTATATTTAATAACCAAATTCAGTAGTATAAATGGATACAAATTCAACATTCAAAAATCAATAGAATTCCTATACACAAATAACAAACTCACTGAGACAGAAATTAGGGAAACAACACAATAGCCTAAAAAAAGAAAGGAATACCTAGGCATCCATCTAATGAAGAAAGTAAAAGACTTTTACATTGAAAACTACAGTACTTTGAAAAAAAGAGATCAAAGAAGATATCAAAAATTGCAAAGATATCCCTAGTTCTTGGGTAGGAAGAACCAATATAGTGAAAATGGCCATAGTTCCAAAATTATTATACAGATTTAATACAATCCTAATCAAAATACCAATAGGATACCTTGCAGAATTAGAGAAAACAATTCTAAAATTCATTTGGAACCATAAGAGACAGAGAATGGGAAGAGCAATTCTGGGCAACAAAGGCAAGACAGGGGGCATCACAATCCCTGACTTGAAATTATACTACAGACCTACTATAATAAGATCAGCATGGTACTGGCAAAAAAAAAAAAAAAGAAAAAAAAAAAAGAAAAGAAAAGACCTGAGGATTAATGGAACAAATTAGAAGATGCAAAAACAACTCTAAATCCACTCAGCCACCTTATCTTTGACAAAGGGGCCAAACACTTTCCCTGGAAGAAAGGTAGCCTCTTCAATAAATGGTACTGCAAAGACTGGCTTTTCACATGCTGAAGATTAAATCTAGACCCATATCTTTTACCATGCACTAAACTAAAATTAAAATGGGTAAAAAAACTAAATGTTGAAACAGAAACACTAAATCTGCTGTAAGATATATTTGGTAGAACACTTGAAGAAATTTGTGTAGCAAAGACTTTATGAATAAAACTCTGATTGCACAGGAAATATCACAAAGAATCATCAACAACTGGGATCTCATCTTATTAAAAAGCTTTAGCATAGTAAAAGGAACCACCAATAGAGTGAAAACACAACTCACAGTGTGAGAAAAAAATTGCTAGCTGTTTCTCAAAAGACCAATATTTACAATATATAAATAACTAAAAAAAAATAGACTCCCCCAAATTTAAAGACCTGGTTCAAAAATGGGCATCTGAAATGAATAGACACTTTGCAGAAGTAGAAATGGGAAATAAATATATGAAAAACATTCAACATCACTGGTGATTTGAGAGATGCAAATTTAAAAAAATGCTGAGATTCCATGTCACTCCAAAAGAATGGCTGCTATCGAGAAATCAACAAAGAACAAATGTTAATAGGGCAGTGGAGAAAAAGGAACCTGCTCCACTACTGGTGGGAGTGTAGATTGGTGCAACCACTGTGGAGATTCCTCATAAAATGAAAACAAAGTTCCATTAGACCCAGCTAGTCCCCTTCTTGGTATCTTCTCAAAGGAATTGAAAACATCCTACCACAGTGATATATGCACACCTATGTCTATAGTGGCAATTTGTAAACTAAATCTTGGAAACTGCACAAATGCCTATCAACTGATGAATGAATAAAGAAGCTGTGGTTTATTTATTATTATTGAGTACTCTGCCATAAAAAAGATAAGGTTGAGACATTTCTAGGTAAATGGATGCTCCCTGCGACCATACTTTTAAGTGAAATAAACTGAACACATGTTTAAAGTCTGCATTGTTTCTCTGGTGTGAGAAACCAAAAGTGTAAATAAGGTCCCAAATGCATAACACATAATGGGAAAGAAATGTTCAAACAAGAAAGGGAATAGGGAAATGGGAGGGGGAAAAGGAAGAAAGAGACAAGAAGGAAAAATGGAAACAAAGCTTTTGTAAATAAGGAGGGAAGAGAGGTTGGAGGGAGGGGAGGGAAATGGAAAAAAAAAGATATATCACATATAGATACAAGTTCCTTATGCAAAACGTTATCATTATGCATGCCTAAAATAACCAATGAAATAAAAAAGTAAAAACAGCAAATATAGCTAGTAAAAACATAAAGATAATTAAAAAAAGAAAAGCAAAACAACAAATTGGATTTCTGAGAAACCCTTAGGCCCCAAACCTTCTTCCCTCATCTTTGACTGGTTTTGGACGGCCGTCTTTGCTCACCAGAACAGCTTACCCTGGGAGTGGATGAGGATTAGCCGGGTCTGGGCAGTAGACTCTGTACGACTCCTTCAGATTAACTCCACCTCCATGAAGATATTCACTTCCCATTTTTTCAGTTACAAAGTTTCTCACTGATTTCTTTAAACTTTCTGGTCTAAGAATTTTTATCTGAAAAAGAAAACAGGAAGATAATGTTAACTGAAAAGGAGGAGTTTCCTTCCCATGGTAAAATGAAATTAAAAACCAAAGTATTGGAGATGTAGCCTCCAGCCAGAGCTCTGTGGTGGCCCTGCTTGACGTGTTGGGTCCCCGAGTGGGGGGGACAGGCCTCTCCTGGCCTTTGTGCAGCCTCCGGGGCACCAGGGCTGCCTGTGCATTGGGCAGTTCCTCCACCCTGAGGACCTCACTTGGATGGCAGGGTACAGGTGTGTCCCCTGGCTCTGCAGAGAGGCCTTTCCGGGTTTCCTCTCATCCTGCCTTCCAGTCTAGAGCAAGGAGACCATGGTGGGACAGCACAGTCCACCTGCAGGAAATGAAGTGCACAGTGTCATCCGCAGGAGTCTAAGGGAGAGAACACATATCTGAAAGAGCAGTCGGTTGATGGGTGATCTAGGAGACAGTATGCATGTAGCAAGCAGAGGCTCAGGGTTACTGAGATCACTGCACTTTTCCCAGGGACACTGTCTGGGATACCTCGTTTCTTTATGGAAGGAGTGAACCAGCATCTGCAGGCATCTGTGGGTCTGTGTGGATGGACCAGGCTGAACCACAGAGGCCACTTTTACAAGTCAAACACTGTCAGATATTGGCAGTTCCATGTTTAAATCACAAAATTCATTAAATTTCTCCATTGCTGGAATTTTTAACCTTGAAGATTGTTGTTTTTTGAGAGATGGAGGACAGAAAAAAATGGAGTCTGTCAAAGTCAATTTCACTAGCAGGAGCTTCATGTCCCCTTCTGCCAAGTGTTGTCCTTCTCCCACCTGTCTGCGAGAATTAGCAGTGTAGACAGATGAGACACTGGAGTAGGTCCTTGCAGCTCCCAGGCCTCCCCTTCTCCAGGGCAGGCCTCCTTTCTCTGATGAGCACCTGAGCCTCACGTTCTCATTGCTCAGCCCAGGCTTGGACATCTTGCCAACTTTTGGATTGGAAAAGAGGATTACTATGCTCAATTTCTGTTCATAAAACAAAATCACTGGGAGCTCACTGTGGCAGGCAGTGTAACATGGGACTTACACACTAGGCAATTTGTTATTCAGGTAAAATATACTGGCCCCATACAACATTCAACAACACAAAAAGGTGTGAATGAAAAAGTAAAGGTTTTTAGCTATCACCGTGTTTCTTGTGGCTCCTTACAGATATTCCCAACACAGAACAGGTGCCTCTCTATCCAGCCTCCTCTTTTGTACAAGCAGAGATCTGTTCTGCAGACTATTAGGCATTCTGCATTTTTCAACACAACTTAAACACATTTCCTGCCATGACGTATGGCGGTATCGACCTGTCTACAGAGACCAAGTTGGTAACAGATCAGGGAAGTGGGTGGGGTAGAGAGAAATCATCCCTTCATAGGAAAAGTACAGGTGCCAGTGGGACGCTAGATGGCAGAAGAATGCCAGTCTCCAAGTGAGGACTGAGGCCACAGACTGCTCTGGCTCCTGTCACCACTGGGGACTGTGGCTGCCTGGCGCTTCATCTTCTAATTTTCCAAAAAAGTCAGAAAACTGGGTTTTTATGTGGACTTTCCCAATTTGAAGTTTTTGACCCCTAAATTTAAAAAATACTCTATAATAATACACAAGATCCTAAAGAGATAATTAACATGTGAAATAGGAAGAAAAGGGCTAAAGGTGTAGGGAAAGTGGGAAGGGTAGGGGAAAGGGAATAAGGGAAAAGAAAAAAATATGAGAAAATGAAAAAATGGGAATAAGGTGTTTGTAAATGGGGAGGGGAGGGGGGTGAAGGGAGGGCAGGGACAAGGGGAAAAAATGAGAACCAAGACCTGGCATGTAAAGGTACAGGATCCCAATGATGAATGTAACTGTGCTGTATACCTACAATGTACCAATACACTCAATAAAAAGAAAAAAAACCTAGAGGTACAAGATCCCAACAATGAATGTAACTGTGCTGTATCCCTAAAATGTACCAATAAACTCAATTAAAGCTGAAAAAAAAAACCACTCAAACAAAAGCAAAATAAAACCCCAAAGATGCACTGATGTTCACAGCTCAGTTACTCACAGTAGCTGAAAAGTGGAAACAGTTTAATAATTACAGGATTTCTGACTGGGATGATGGCAAAGGTCTGGAAACAGATGGGGCAGACAGCTGTCCACTGAACACACTTAATGCTGTGGAACTGCACACTCAGAAAGGGTTAAAATTATGAGGATCAAATGAAACAACGCATGCAGATATTATCCCAATTAAAAATTCATGTTAAGATGTAAGTATACTCAGAACTTAAAAACTAGTGTATGGTATTTAATTTAGTTATTTTTAATTAAGGACTTGAAAGTTGTTATGGTCTAACATTGCCCAGAAGACACAGCCAGAAGAAGCCATCTGTGAGGCAGAGCAGCTGCTGACAGACACGGAAATGCTGGTGTCTTAATACTGGACTCCCCAGCCTCTAGAACTGTGAGTGACACATTTCTATTGTTTGTACATTACCTGGTCTAAAGTATTTTGTTATAGCAGCCCAAACAGACTAAGCTGAAAATCTTCTAAGACAGATTTTCATAGGTTCAAATTCATTTGTTTTATGATAAATTGCACTTGAAAAATTGAAAAAATAAAACTGCAGGCCAACTAAAACAAGTCTATATATCAGATGTGGTCCTTTTTGCAACCTCTATCTATAGTGAGTTTTAAAATGCTGCAAAAACAAAATTTAAGGCAGAAGTCAAGGAGGATTATTGGCTGTCTAGGTCACTGATACCTGAAGGTCGGGGAGAGGGGAATGAGGAATTTTCCCTCACTGAATTAGATGGCTAAGTGAAAGTCAAAAGCTTCTTCATCGTGGTAGAGACAATTCTGGATGACCTACTTGAGAAGTCAGATATGGGGGCAGGACAGGCAGGCCCAGCCTTGTTTCCTGGCCAGGGGCAGAGCAGGGTAGGAGGAGCTGGCAGGTGCCAGACCCCTGAGCCCAGGGTAGGCTGCTGGCCTGCCCAGAGCACCAGGGCCTGTGCTGGTTTGATACAGGCTACATGTACAACGTGTGCAGGAGCAGAGTAGAAAGTGCCCTGTGCAGGCGGGAATGAGCCCTATACTTCCTCATCTGTCCGATCTGCCAAGTGTGTAAGCGTCTCCTCCCCATGGCAGAGGGAGGCCAGGGCTGTGGCTCTGACCGGACACAAGGAAACATCAAGGGTGGTGAGTGAGGGTGTCCCTCTAACATTAAGGCTCAGCAAAGTTTAGTTTTCAGGAATCAATATATTTTGCTTATAAAATTTTATTTCAAAAGGTTTAAGTTACTAACAAAGTGCTTAAAATATCTAGAACCTTACTATTTTTTCAAAGCACATCTTACCAGAATAAGTCTTTGAAATGGAGTCAGTTTCTCCCAGGGAAAATTTGTAGGATTATACGTTTCTTCATTTTCATTCAAAAGTTCAGCTAGATGTTATTTAAGGAGAGATTAAAATCAAATACTTTGTATCACTAATGGATGTCGCGATACATGTTTTTGTTATAAAACTATAGTTTTTGTTCTTTAAAGACATAGTAGAATTTTGAGCTTTATTTCCACTAGATTAGAGGCACTGGCAACTCTCCTCTATACCTTGAAAGTAGACCTGGAGGCAGAGTTAATGCCAACTCAATCCAGCTGAAGAGGCTGCTGTGGGGCGGGGACAGCCAGCACTTCACAGCTCACCACTGACAGGGGCCAGTGACCCACCTGAAATGGGCACAGGAAGTGGGCCCTAAGGAGACACACCTGTGTCCTTCCTCCTGCCCTCCTGCTGGGTCTGCATGGCAGGGAGCATGCCCCATCTTTACCTCCAACTCTCCATGATGCAGTTACCTCCCCCTACTTCGTATTTCCACAGTTATTTCCCAATGTTTAACTTTATAACTTTATTATAAAAATAGCTTTTTGTTTGTTTTAGTATGGGGGATCAAACTCGGGTCCTTGTGCTTGCGAGGCAGGTGGCAGAACCACTGAGCTAAATCCCCAGCCCTAAAAATAGCTTTTTTGAATGTAATTATTAATATTGGCGTGTTGATTAAAACAAGAACATTCCATGGCACATGAAAATCTAGTTACAAATGGATAAATTTGGGGTTAACAGTAAAATCAAAAGATACTTCACAAAATGGGTCAATAAAGACCTTAAAATAAAAAATTATTGATTCTCATATTAAAATAGATTTTTGACAAATACAACATAATAAAACATTAATCACCTACAGAAAAAAACCCAGAGTGGAGACTACCTTCTTAATAAGAAATGGAAACCAAGAAGCTATGAAAATAGCCATAGTTGACTAAACAGATATTCCAACATTTATACAGTACAGAAACCATAGCCAAATCCAATAGACAGTGAACAGACTTAGAAAAATACTTAAGGACACAAAGATATAACTACCTAAAACATTAATAGGATTCTTACAAAAGGCTGAAAAGGAATAAACAATCCAGTAGAAAAATGGGTAAAGAACATGAACAGACAAATCCAAATGGTCAATAAGCATCCAGAAGGAAACTTTAACTTGCCCATAGTTAAATTAAAACTAAAATATTCAAAAACTTTTCAGATTGGCATGATTTTTTCTTTATGGAAAAAGGGCACTCCTATTGCATGTGGAAATATGCATTATCATAAACATTTAAAGAAATCATCCTGGCAGCAATTATTAATGAAAAAAGATTTACTGTCAATTAGCAACTCAACTTCTGGAAGCAAAAATGGAGAAAAATGTGGAAGGAAACAAATTCGGTTGTATCTGAGTAGGCATAATAGTGCCAGTGGCAGGGAAAGATGAAGAGGAGAGTAGAAATAGAAGAGGGAAAAGATAAAAGCAGCAAGTCCATTTTCTATGTAATTTTTAGATATCTGTTATTATAAAATAGAGGATCTATAGAGGGCTGGTTAGATTCAAGGTTCTAAACTAGTGCAGGTAAAGAGAGTACTGTGGTATATTTAATCTCTCCCAAATCCTGATATTTCATCAATTTCTCATTGTAACAATAAGATTATTCACAAGATTATGAGGATTACATAGGATAAAACGTGTGTGCTTATGTCATAATTATGTTGCTTCTTTCAGTATTTTTAGTGTAAGGTAGTGAACTACATTTATAAATTTAAAAATTACTCCCTTGTCCACAGACAGACACAGACACAGACACACACACACACACACACACACACACACACACACACACACACATATTAGAGTACAACCCTAAATGGTTCCTTACTTTCCTCTGGGGATTTCATGTAAACCTCCGATGGAGACGTCTCTGAGCAAAACACCATGTTCATCAGAGAATATACAGCCTTACTATTCTTAAATGCATTCCACTGTGGAGGATTGGACAAGAGGGATTTGCACAGCAGGGAGAAGGGCTCCAGCTGCCGGCTGAGGTGCTGGTACTGCCTCCACCGTGACTCCGACAGCCATGGAAGGTGCTGATTTTTACACATTTCAAATATGCCTAATAGAAAAGGAAAAATGATCACATTAGAAGAGCTCAGTTCTTTACCGTTTAGTTATTCCTTACAAAGTAAATGATTAACAAATATTTGTTGTTGAGCAAAGAATCACTCTGTAATGTAAACTTTTTCTTAACAATTTTAAATATGTAGGTTGCAAAACATCTCCAGAAATTTTTGTTTTACAAATCTCAAACTCTATGCCCATTACACATTACAAACAACTTCCCTTTTCCTACCCTTCCAAGATGCTGGTAGTCACCATTTTTCTAACTGTTACTATGGATTTATGGAAGGCATGCTTTACATTGTATATTTGTGTCAAAAGTGTATAAGATTTACTTTGTCGGACTTACAAATGAATATGACTTATGAACATTCTCCTGGAACAGGAACTCATTCATAAGTCAGACCTACTGTATAGCTAGCTACTCCTGCTTGTTTTCGGTCTCCAGAGCTTGGAGCATCATTTTCCATCCTTTGGCTGTGATGGTTGCGTGGCTTTTGTCCTTCATTCTGTTAATGTGGTATATTACATTTTTTCGCTTTTGTATGTTCGACTATCCTAGGAGAAGATCTCTAATCAGCAAAACAATTTAACACCTCAACAAAGCACAGAAATGACAAACTAAATGCAAAGGTAGCAGAAGGAAACAAATAATAATAATAAAGATTGATGTAATACTAAAATCGAGAATAGATAAGTAGTAGTAAAAAATCAAAACTCAGGGCTTGGATGTTGACCAGATCAAGAAATATGCAAACCTTTAGCTCAGTTAAGGGAAAAGAGAGATAATGGACATTACTAAGACCAGGAATGAGAGTGGGACATCAACACAGATGCTACAGAAGTTTTTTAAAAGTCTGAAACTGCTATCTACAATTATGTGTCAACAAACTGGATAACCGAGAAGGAATGGATGAATTCATAAAACATATAATGTAGCCAGGGATTTAGCTCAGTGGTTCTGCTGCCTGCCTTGCAAGTGCAAGGTCCTGAGTTCAATCCATGGTACCAAAATCAATCAGTCAATCAATCAATCAATCAATCATAATGTATCAAGACTGAATAATAATGAAATAGAGAATCTGAATAGACCAACAGAAAGTAAGGAGGTGGAATCAGTAAACAAAAACTGACCAAAAAAGAAAACTCTCTAACCAGATAGCATCATTGGGGAACTCTCTTAAATACTTAAAATGATTAATGAAAATTCCTCTGAAACTCTTCCACCAAACTGAAGAGAAGAATACCGCCTAATCGAGTCTGTAAGGCCAGTGTTATTCTGAAGCCAAAACTAGACAAAGACACAAGAAAACTGTAGACAATATTCCTGATGAATATGGACACAAAAACTTTCAACAGATTACTATCAAACCAAATTCAATAGCATATGGAAAGGATTACACACTATAGGCAAGTGGAATTTGTTGTTTGAGTATGTTATTTAATGTCTACATGTTTGTGGATTTTCTGCTTTTCCTTCTGCTACTATTACTAGTTTCATCTATTGTGTTTGAAAAAGATGTATGGTATGATTACTCCTTGAATTTGTTAAGATTTGCTTGTGGCCTAAAGTGGTATTTCATGGAAAATGTTCATGTGGACTTGAGAAGAGGGTACATTCTGCTGTTACTGGGCAGACCATTATGATTCAGTTTGGTCTAATTGATCACTGTGTTGTTCAAGTCCATTTTTTCCTTCTCAATCTCCTGTCTGATTCTTCTGTCTTTTATTTTGCTCTTTATTTATATTTGGGTTTCTCATATAAGAAAAACCATGCAATATTCAAGCTTGTGCATCTGGTTTATTTTACTTAAATTTATTGTCTCAGTGTGCATCTGTTTTCTTACAAATGACTAAGGTTTATCCTTCTTTATGGTAGAGTAGTACTCTGTTATGTATAAATACTGCATTTTCTTTATCCATTCACCTGTTGATGGACATAACAGGCTGCTTCCAGGAACTAGCTATTGTGATTGTGCTGCTATAAACATGGTATGCATGGATCACTGTAATATGATGTCTCCATTTAACATTTTTTTATAGGGCAGTTTTTTTCTTTAGCACTTTGAACATATCCCAATCCCTGTGGATTAGTTTCTCCTGAGAAATCTGCTGATCATCACATAGAAACTTCCTTGTACACATGAATCCTTTTTCTCTTGCTGCATTCATGTTCTGTCACTGTTCAAAGCTGAGTTATGTTAATAGTAGTTACTGGCTCTCACACCAGTGCTTGGTATTTACATTTTTCCTTGGGTTTTTCTAAACTATCCCAGAATCTATCAAAATTTTTTATTTTTATTTTTGAACTATTGTTTCTGTTTTCTTTCTTTTGTAAGCAAAAGAATCATAATAAATCCATAAGATCATCCATTGATTCAGTAGTCACGTACCAAACATCCACTAGGTACCATTTTATTACTTTGGTGAAAATAAGAAAAAAAATCATATCACAGAGAAGTATGCACACCCATGTTTATAGCGGCACAGTTTGTAATAGCTAAATCTTGGAAACAGCCCATTTGCCCATCCGTTGGAAACTGGATAAAGAAGATGTGGTTTTTCTATAAAATGGAATATTACTCAGCCATAAAGAACGAGAAAATAGATTCATTCATAGGAAAATGGATACATGTTGAAGGTATACTCCTAAGTGAAATAAATAAGTCACACATGTGTAAATACCGAATAGCTTCCCTGGTGTGAAGGGAAGGTGGGATGGGTAGGGGAAGGGTAACAAGGGAAAAGAAACAAATGCGAGAGAATGAAGAGATGAAAATAAAGTGTTTGTAGATGGGGAGGAGAGGAGGGGTGAAGGGAGGGCAGGGGTAAGGGAAAAATGAGAACCAAGACCTGTCGTGTAGAGGTACAAGATCCCAACAATGAATGTAACTGTACTGTAGCCCTAAAATGTACCAATAAACTCAATTAAAGCTGGAAAAAAAAGAAAAAAATCAGACCAAGTGGAGTTTTCCATATTCTGCTATACTTCGTAGTAGCTCCCTGTGATTGCATTCTGGCTTCCAGCTCTTGCCACAGGGCCCAAATGCTTGATACAGCCTGATCTTTTCTTTGTGTGAAGTCAGATTTCTTTAAATTCCTTATTTGTGTGATTTAAAATGTACAAAACAGCACAACCGTGTGAATGTTACTTAAATGAGTATTTAAAAATGAGTAAGATGTAGATGAATCTAGGTATATTTGATTACAACTAAAGTATATTTAAAAATATACAACAGGAGTATTTAAAAAGATTTCTTAAGTGATTTTGCCTAGGCTTTTTGGGTAAACGTGCTTTTGTGGCTCACATTTTCAAAGGATTTTCATGAGAAATTGAAGGCGAGGCTGGGGTTCAACCCCATTGGTATTTCATACTCATGTTGGTTGTAAACATATTCATCCAAAAGACACTGCCATTAGATATTTTGCTCTGCAGATTAGGACTTCCATAACCATACTAATTGCCGTTCACTTGTTCATTTATTGAAAAATTACTCATTGTCAGTTATGTGCTCAGCACTGTTGGAGATGGGTGAGGAGCCAGACATTGTTATTGCCGTAAGCTGCTTTTGCTTTCCTCAGCGACTTAGAGCATCTCAGACATATTTCAGTATTTTGCATGGAAATGTGTTTTTAATGGGCTTCTACTACATTCAGAGAAGTTGCTTTCACTTACGATCAAGTCTTGGCTTGGAGAGAATATTTTCAATGTTTATGAGGATACTGGAATACAGAAAGAGGTTCCATTCTCTCTCTGGTCGAAATCCAATGCCATCTGGCCTGAGGTTCCCATCAGCATTATTCTGCATGATTGTAGTGCAAAGCCGGAAGGAGAAGCAGAGTTTATGTTGGTTGAACAGAGCTGAAGAAACCACCTGCAGAGAAAATACAAGGGTTAGATCAACTCAGTGAGCTTAAGTAAGCAGAATTTGCATTAAAGAACATCTCTCACCTTAAAAATATTTCTTGTCAGTGTATCTATTGCATTTTTAATATGCTTGTCTAGGGGATTTTTCTCACTTTCCAAATCAGGTCCTTCTGAGATATTTTTAATCTCGTGAACTTTTTTCAGAGACATCCTCTCCTTTTTCAAGCTGTGCTCTTGCTCTTTGTTTTTGGAGACTACGGATGACACAAAGACCTGGCGAAACCAGCCCAGGGAGAACTGGTACATGTGGTCCACCCGGGCAAGGCTGGCCGTAAGGAAGTACAGGAGAACGCCCCGGGTGGCGGTGGGCAGGTACTTCTCTCGAATTGCTTGGATTTCACTTTCTGCTTTCTCTGTTGCTTGGATACGTTTTGCAATTTCATTCGAAGTCATTTTGCATTTTCTTAAGGTATCTATAATTTCCTCATCATCTAATACACATCCTAAGGACAAAGAGTGAATTTAAAGACTGTGTGATTCTGAGCAGCTGTTTCCGCAAACTGTCTCTCTGTAAGTTTTTCCTGTGGGCTTTGTGTTGGAGATCAGCTCCAAGGAGCCACTCCTGATTCCAGGAGATTAAAACAGACAGGATGCACTTCCCACTTCGACACCTTCTCCATATCACTCTCGCTTTTGTGGATATGATTTCTATTACAGGCACGACACAAGTAACCAGTCCATCCTAGGGGATGCTTCTGTACACTGACTATAGTAACAACCTCACCATTATTTCCTGGGACAGAGTCTGATATTTTGTATTCTATTCTATTCTAATTTTGTTAAATAAAACTGATGATGTCCAGTGATATGAGTTTCTCAACTAGCAATAGGTTGTAAGTCATTTTTTGAAAAACCACTGCACTAGACACACATAATTCTCTTTCAAATTTTGAGGCAGCTCTTAAATTTCCATTTTAAACTCTCTATCTTTATGGGCCAAACATTCTTTCATTTTCCTCAACTGCCTTTTGCTTATGACAGGACTTTCAGAGCCATCACACCATCCTATATGCTCATATCTGGACAGACTTTAGTTGGAAAAAAGCTTTCTTAAAATGTGGCACCCAGAGCCAAGCACAGTATTTCAGCTTGAAATGGCCCCTGAAGCAAGCAGGGAGGTAATGATGCCCCAGGACTTGGATGGCCAGTTAAACAACATCTGGCCCTAAGTGGTAGGGCACCTCTTACTTTCCCACTCCAGCACATGGTTTCCCAATTTTTGCTTTGATTGAGTCACAAAAAATAAAATATTTCCACAGGGGTAATGACAATGACAGTGTTACTAAAATTTAGAAAGGAGGAGGATTCATGTCTAGAATCAAGGACAATTTTTTTTTGTCCTAGGGATCGAAGCCAAAGCCTCCTACATGGGAATCACAGGTATTACTGCTGAGCTACACCCACAGCCCAACGAACCTTTATTTAATTAGAGTTTTCAAGGGACATTTTTATTAAAGCCACTATTAGTAAAAAGTTAGTCTTTTAAAAATAACTTAAACTCTAATCTAAGGAAGAATCAGGTATAAACACCAGAGCAGAATAAAATCACAGAATCCTCTGACACCTTTCAGTTATCTCATCAAACCCACCTTTTACCCAATTTATACAAAGCTTATAGCAAAATGTGACATCTGTTATATGACGACCCAAGATGAGAGTGTGGCTGTGCCTCCAGGCCCTTGTGTTCTGTGATACAGGAGGTTCCAGGGGATGGCTATGCCCTCCTGAGAGGAACCAGAAGGCTGTCCACACAACCAGCTGTCCTGTCACCGAGAGAAGCACAGCTCATTCCCCTGCTATAAAGGAACTGGTTGTCAGGGGCAAAGATCCTTCCAGGGGTAAATATGTATTTAAATGCATATAAATGTACTTCTGAGGTAGGATTTGACTGAATTTGTAATAAAGGTAAAAATGGACTTTCAGCCCTCTCTCTCCTTTTTCCCCCTTTCTAAATAAGGTTCTGAACAAGCCAGAGTTCAAATAAGGTTCCACAGCCCAGAGACTGCAGGAGGTCACTCTTCTTTTGGTGGCTGTGGCACTTTGCCAGGGAAGGGCAGCTGACGGTGAGCAGAGCACTGAGCAGAAGAGGCGTGTGCTTTGGCGGGAAGGGCTTATGCATATCTCTGCCCTTTACCTGGCTCAGATGTCTGTGCCCCCAGAATCCTAAGCTGCACCCTGAACACTCAGCACCAGCAGTGCTACATGTTTAGCATCTTCCCAAGGATCTTTCCACACAGATGTGCAATCGGAAGGGCAGTGGGATGGACGACGAACAGCATTTTAAAGTGAGAAATGAATTCCACAATAAATGCCCGGCCTCAAATGACAAGAAAATTGGCCTTCACTAGAATTAAGAAAAACAACTGATAGAACTGCTGAATCTCAGGTAAATATTTCTTGATGACAATAGAGGTTAGTTCCTGAAACATCTTAAGGTTAAAAGATTAATGGAAGTAATCAGGGGATTTAGCTCAGTGGTGCGGCTGCCTGCCTTGCAAGCACAAGGTCCTGAGTTTGATCCCTGGTACCAAAAAACAAAAAAGATTAATGGAAGCAACTGAAGAACTGATTTTTTCTTTTTAAAGATCAAGATAAAGACATACATTTTAAGTTACATGGAATCTGTGGCAATTGTACTCAGATCTCCGTCCACTATCTGACACTGGTTATTTGGTGAGATTTCATTAAATAGTTTTTGTTTTGTTTAAAAATGATTGGTACATCAATTGTACATATTTATTAATATAGTGTGATAATTTCACACAAGGACACCGTGTGTGATGAGCAGTTAGGCGTACCTAGCATGTCTGTTTCCTTAGACACTGAAACATTTCTGAGAGACCGGAAGGACTGTAGGTGTTTGTGAGGTACAGTGCAATACCCGGAGACCTGTGCTGTGGGTGCCAGCAAAGCAGGGTGAGTACGACTGCATTTCCATCTCCTCATTGTTATTCAGGGTTTGGAGCCTCCAGCAGGTGCCCTCCCGTTATTCACAAAACATATAGCAGGTTGCTGCAAAGTGCAGTCACCCACAGCGGGGCAGAGCCCGAGCCCAGTGCTTCAGTTCCCTGGTCCTGTTGGTGTTGCTCCTGGGAAGGCTGCCTTGTGCCCTGCCATGCTTTCTGTTTCTTGCTTTTGCAAAACATTATAATCTTATTTATTTATGAATATTTGCCTTTTTAAAAAGCCTGGTTTTCAGTCTATCTTCTAAGCAGCCAGTCACAGGGGCTTGCACCCCAGACCATGGAACTTCCAATAAGACAGATGGTGAACTGGTGGTGAGCATCAGTTTCAAAGTAAACGTGGCCAGGGCCCAGATGAAGAGGTTCAGGTTGAGTTAAGTATGTGGTGGAACTCACTGGTTATTTGTATGGGAAAGAAAGAAAGAAAGAAAGAAAAAGCAATATAATCTGCAGAATATTCTTACATATAACCTTAACTGAGGATCAAAGTAATTTGGGAAACTTTAAAATCCCAATAAGTCACAGATTAAAACAGAAAGGTCACCCATTGTTAGGGAGGCCTGTATTTTATTTCACAGATACATCTGTGTAATCCAGGAATTTAACCTAAATTTAAATTAGTTGCTGTAAAGACTGTGATTTCTGAGATAGTTCTGATAATGAAGAGGAAAAGGGTTCCTGTTTCTTGAAAAACTTAGCATGTTTTAGTGTTTTATATATAAAAGTCACTGGATTGTTTCCGTTTTGAAAAGACCCTGTAGTATTAACACATGGGAGAATCTGCTCCTTTGTCTCTTCTGTACTAGAGATTTGCTGCCAGCATCAGGCCCAGATTACACAGGCGTGGGGCTTTACTCACCAGCCCCCCAGGCTTTGCTTAGCACTGAGCTCAGGTGTGGGGAGCGAATGTCTTAGCAGACAATGAGCTAACATACAGTGTGAACTGAAAATAGTCACAGTTCTCAGGCCCAGGTTCACCAATGTTAATTATCTGGCAGAAATGGAAATCTTGTATTTTTTGCTCCAATTCACAATAAAATCCTGAGAGTTTTTTATTCTGATCTTAATACAGGTCTCTTAGTGTCACAAGAGATCTCCACTCACCCTGAGAATTCTGCAGTAAGTTCAGTGTTTTCTCCTCCATTTCTTCAAGTGTTAATGAATCAAGGGCGATCCGCTCCAGTAACTGAGAGTGCTGCTCTTCTAAATGAGGCACTTCGTGACTTGCCATGGTGGACAAGAGCTGGTCTTGCAAGCCTTGGAATGTTACTGTGAAGCTGATCATAGTAACAACGCTGTACACTGATGGCAGGAAATGGGGATTGTCTATTTCTGTCGATAAGTATAACCTAAACATAAGAAAGATACACAACTGTTCAAGGAATACACAAAGGGAAAAATGAAAACAATTTATCTAGTACTACAAAATGTACTTTTCCTGGAAGTGAACAAGATTAATGTTCAGTGTTATTCAACCTAGAATCAAAGTAGGCTCTCAATTTACAATATGTGAAGAGTTTGGCATTTAAGACTTCAAAAAATACAACCATAAATTTTGTCCATGTTATGTTTGGTTTCAGCATGAGGGCAAGTTAAAGAAGAATGCTAAATGGGTTCTGACCGGCTGGTCATTGTGAGACTCTGGCTTCCACTCAGTGTGAATGAGAGGGAAGTGGGGGGCCTGGCAGAGAGCCCCAGTGTTTCTGACCCAACTCCTATGGCTGCTGTCTCGAGAGCTGCTGGGTGGAGCAGAGGAAGCAAGATGGGTTGTTTGGGGTGGAAAAGGGTGGCTTGAGGTCTGGAGAGGCCAGTAGGACACTTAAGAGAGATTCATTTCTGGATCTCATTTAGTCCTCCTGGAAATCAAATAAAGCAAGGACAGTTCTTCACTCCATTTATAAAAAGGGAACTGATGCTTAGAGAAGGCAAATAAGCTACCCACATGACATGGACAGAAATGACAGAATGGGGGCTGTGTCTTCTGCAACAGAAATCCTGTCCCACCGCTTCAGCACATGCATTTCTAACACAGGGAACCAAATGTCAACTCGGGAAAATGCAGCTTCACGAGCAACTCTACAACTGGGTTTCTGTGATCATGCTTCCCAGGGAGAGAGGAGAGTGGGTTATCAGGGAGTGCCCAACACCAGAGCAGGGTCCAGGAGGAAAGGGGTTGGAAGCCCTGCGGGGAAGCCTTGTTGAGCTTTGTTTAAGCCACTGCTTTTATAAACCTTGGGGCACCCCTTTTGAGGGACACCTATTATGTCCCTGGAAATGTTGTTTTGAGGGATATAATTTGGAAAACGTCTTATTAACAGAAAGAAGGCGACTAGGAAAGAGAATCCTAAGGAGTAAGAAGTGGCGAGAGACCCTGCCAATCAGGGCACAGTGCCTGGGAGGTACAGCACAAATGTTGCATTTCCTTAGAACTCTGATGTTGCTGGGATGGGGCTGATTGTGTAACAGTTCTCTGTGAAGTTGGCCACTTCCTGCCAGGTACACAAACATCAGGTTTTTACTCCCCTAAGCAAAAATCTCTTTTTTCTCTGGATATAAAATATAGAACTTATTTTTTAAAGCAACAGAAGCTGGTCTCACCCAAACAGCATGTTAGGCAAGTGGCTTAAACCAATCACCCAATACAGCAGGCCTAGCCTCCTGTAGACGCACCTAAGAACACTCCCACCCCCCACCCCCCGCTCTGCCCCTGGGAGAGCTCAGAGGGAGAAGGTCAGGGCTACCTCTTTTCCCAGGAAGGAGCTCACTGGACCCAAATAGGAAGGCTTCAAGATTGTGGGTCTTATGGAATACTGACATTTGACTCAGTTCAACTGAGAGAGATGTTACCTGAATTGGGAACTGTATTCAATTTCAGAATCATCAATTCTTATGAAATACTGCCCTCTTTTCTGATAGATATCCTTCTTCAAAGTTGCCTTTAAGACTGGGGAAAGTGTTTCAGAGAGGATCTGGGAAAAAAAAGAAATAAAAATCATATTAAAACAAATAAATTGGTTGAAAATACACATTTAAATCTTATGAAGTATGGATACCAAAGAGAGCTGATTCACTACTGAAAACTCACTGTGTGTGTACTGAAAATGCATGTGTGTGTACTATGTGTCCATGTGTGCACTGTGCATGTGTGTGCACAAAAGGATGGGGTATGTATGTACTTGTGTGTGTGGGCATTTATGCACACGCATGTTTCTGTATACACACACACATGCATATGCACACATGCCCAGGTAAGCACACACTGTACACATGCATGCACGCACATATGTACACCCACACATATGTGTGAGGTGCATGTATGCGAGCAGTACGTAAATTTTTTCCTCTGGAAGTGTGATGTGTTGCTTAAAACTTATCCTTCTGCTCCACGCTGCCCTGGAATGGGGAGTCAGGTTCTGCGGCCCCAGTACCTGCAGAAGCACACTTGCCCCCATGTTCATGGCGTTCTCCAGTTTCTTGGGGAAGAGGCTGTCCTCCGTGGAGAGATCCTGCAGCTGGGGCCCCTCCACCTGGCGGATCCAGGCAAGCGCCTGCTGGTGTGGGTCAATTAGCAGTGGCCACTGCTGCCCGCTTCTCATGAAGATGGCATTCTCCGTGGACCACCGCCCAAGGGGCAGCCCCTGGCTGTGCTACCTGCGGACCTGGGCAGAAGCATCAGAGCTGTCACTGCTCACAGTCATGTCACATCTGTAGCATTCTACAGCTTGGGCAAGGTTCTACAGGGCCCGTCTTTAGAAAAGTAAATGGGGGCCAGGGATGTAGCTCAGTGGCGCTCTGCCTGCCTTTCAAGCTCAAGGTCCTGAGTTTGATCCCCAGTACCAATAAATAAATAAACAAATAAATAGCCTTTAAAGGCCTAAGGAACTTGGATTGAAATTTTTGTTGTGGTGCTGCCAGGGAATCTCTGGCAAAGGTGGGGGCTCCCTGGGAAAAGCCCAAGGCACCTTTTGGTTCTGGAATGGAGGAAAAAGGTTTTGTTTACATCCATCAAGAATGACACGGTCTTGAATTCTATATCAAAGGAAACATGAAAGTAGATGAGTCTGCTGCAGAGATGGGCACTCCGGCTGCTGTGGTGTGGACGGCCTTTGACAGCACACAGAGTCCAGAGCATGAGAGTCGAATCCTTGGACCCAGATTAAAAATCAAATTGTTCTCCCAATATTATGCTTTTCTCTATATCTTATCTAAGTGTGTGTGACTAAACACTGTAGTTTATCTTTGCTTAATTTTTGAGCTTGAGGTAAATGACTCTTGCACACTTTCTGTGCCCTGCTCTGCCCATGCTGTGTGTGGCATCTGCCCCTTTGTGGGGCAGTAGAGCAGCCACTGCTTGAACACTGGAGACTTAGGAACCTGTTCCATGCTGAGGGTGTTAGATGACTCCAAGGGTTGGTTCCTAGGAATGTGTTCATGCATGCATTTCTTCAAGGTAAAAAACTAGGACGGGAGTGAGGGGCCACGGGGTTGTGTGCTTGTAACACCAGCAGCTCATGCCAGTGTTCTAACAGGTTCTGAGGCTGTCGCCCCTGCCCCACCAGCTCTGACACAGTCAGTCTTCACACTGCCAGGCTGGCAGCTGCACGGACGTGCCACATTCTGGATTTGATCTCCATCCCTCGCTGAGCCACAGTGAAGCACCCACTGTGCAGGTGGCTGTTCGCACTTCTCTTCTGGGCTGCTGCTTACTGCTCTTGTCCAGGCGCCTATTTATTTGCTTGTTGACTGACATCTGGTAGTTCTTTTCATGTTCTGGATAGGGCTTTTTGTTTAAATTATGTATGGTAAATAATCCTTTTGGCTTGTCTTTCTTCACATCATCTCAGTAGTATCTTTTGATGAACAGGTCTAAATTTCAAAGTAATTAAATTTATCGCTTTTTTTCTTTATGGTTACTTTGGGTTAACAAAAACTGTCATTTAAAAATTTCATCAGTACATGTTTGCAGTACACACATTTTACAGTCACCTTGGGGAGTTGGTACAGGTACGTAACACAGCTTGTTTCTTTTCAAAATTCCTGTCCATCCCCCTCCTTCCCCCTCATCTAGTTTTCCTTTCCCCATTTTTATTCTTGTTGATATTGCTAATATCAGTTCATGTTTATGGCACATAATGTCCATGTTCATTGAGGTTATTAGGACCTTAGCAGCTGTGATTCTGCTGTGATACCTGGCATGTCTTTACTCTACCTATTTCCACTTTCTCCTCCTCCTCTGCCTTCCTGTTTGGCCCCTGGACTTTAAGAGATCTTCTTTAACCTAGGGTTATGCATATGTTCTACTAAATTGTGCTTCATTAATTTCTATCACAAATTTGTATTTAAAAATCAAATTTAACTGCAATTAATTTTTATATGTGGTATAAAGTAGCAGTCAAATTTCCTTGAAAAAGGCACATTCAACTGGATTCTTGACTCTGCTCTGCTGATGAGGATCTTTATCCTTGTGTGAGGAGGTACATGGATGAACAATACCACTGTCCTGATTATGCAGCTCTACAGTAAATCTTGATACTGTTTTTTTTTTTTTTTTTGGTACCAAGGATCGAACTTGGGACCTTCAGCTTTTGAGGCAGGCAGTGGCACAACTGAGCTAAATCCCTGGCTCCATGATACTTCCTATCTTGATAACAGTTGTTCATCAGCATCATCTTTTGAGACTTCACTTTTCTTTGGTAACTTTTAAAATCAGCTTTTCAGGACACACACCCACTAGAGTGCTGACTGGGGTCACACTGCATCAGTAAATCAATCTGGAAAGAACTGGAAGCTTTAGAATACTGAGTTTACCAATTTATGAATTTGGCCTAAATTTTTTTTCATTAAATTTATTGGTACATTTAAGGTAAACCATACAGTAACATTGGGATCTTGTAGATTTGCCTGATGAATCACAACTGTTTAAGAGTCAAGAGGCATCGAATTAAGTTAGCATCAATAGCAATTCACATGCAGTTCTTTGAGATTAAAAGTGAATTTCTATAGGAAATAAGAGAAAACTTTTGATAGAAAGACTTTCTTTTGTATGTGTGATTCTTTTTGACTGCTGGGGATGAAAGGCCAGGCCTCAGGCACTCCTTGTGAGGAACACCTGCCTGGCACTGACCAGTGCCTGCTCCTCCGGGTGCCCTACACAAGCTGTTTACAAACAACCTCAAAGGATACAATGAGAGTTACATGAGACAAACTAGGAGGATTTGTATTTTTGTAACTGAATCTTTAGAATTCATCTTTAACATGTTTCTTCTCAATACATTCATATTTTTTTCTCTTTTGATACCTGCATCAAAACTCTTGATCTGTCAAATGTCTTTAATCAGAAGCAGCTGATTGGGAAGGCTCCCTGTTTCATGGTATTAGGAGAGATTTCATCTGTTAGAACTGACTCAAAAAGCTCAAATAAAAGAAAACCTATGGCTTTAGATCATAAGTTTGAATTTAAAAAGGAAAAAAGAAACATAAGACTGTAATACTCTGCTCTCCATAAGTAGTGCTACATGGTGGTTCAGGAGGTCTCAGCCAGATGCCCAGCTGTGGCTCGCATCCCCGGCTCTATCCCTGTCCTCTGCCTCACTGGTGTTCTAGGTCCACGTTCCACCTACAGCCACGGGGAACTGCCAACTTCTTAGACTTCTTTCCCTGGGGTGAGGGTGCTGTGTTTTTATTAATTCCTTTTAACCTTCATACTTTCCAAGATGGGCCTACTCAATATAAGCCCAATCATACTTCTGATTAATACAGTACTTTAAAATAAGCATGATAATGAGCCCACCCCAAGAACTTACCTACTTGTGATATGTTTTCAAATAATTTATGAATAAAGTTGTCAAAACTATAGGTTACATCTGCAAGACAATCTGGCTCAAAAGTGGAACAAAACACGATGTCATCTTCATGTTCATCCTCACGTTTTAAAATTCCTCCAAATGACCAAGTGAATGCAAACACGAAAATCTTCTGTAATACGAGTGCTAATTTATCAGGATTTTTCTCCAGATACCATGTGTTTTTATCCCTGAGGTAGAGACAAGTGGAAGAGTGAAGTTTAAATGTTTTAGAAAGCTGCTCAGAAATGTATCCTTAATATCATGTCAAAGTTTCATGGTTAAAAACTATAATACAGGGCCAGGGATTTAGCTGAGTGGTTCCACTGCCTTCCTTGCAAGTGCAAGGACCCAAATTCGATCCCTGGTACCAAAAAAAAAAAACCCCAACAACAACAACCAAAAAAAAAAAAAAAAC